GGGGGGGGGTGGTGGGGGGGGGGGGGGGGGGGTGGGGGGGGGGGGGGGGGGGGGTGGGGGGGGGGGGGTGGGGGGGGGGAGGGGCTGGGGGGGTTGCCGAAAACGCTGATTTTGCTGAGGGCGCCCCTACCCCCGTGCTGAACCCCCTGTTTACGCTGTGCGGGTGGCGCGGTCCTCCACGAAAAAATTGTGCACCGACCCCCCCCCACCCCCCGCGTTTTGGTGGGAAGAGGGAAAGAGGGAGGTTTTCACCTCCTTTTCCCATCCAACACGCCGCCAGGGTCGGCGGACCCTAAACCCTAAACCCTAAACCCCAAACCCTAAACCCTAAACCCTAAACCCTAAACCCTTTGCCTCAAAATGCAGAACCTCACAGCTTGTCGGCTTGACTGGGCCTGGCGCATGCACACGCCTCAGCCTTATCCCCGGTAAGCCCCTAGACCCTACCTAAATGCTAAACTGGCCTTAAACCCTACACCCTAAACCCTAAACCCTAAACCCTAAACCCTATGCCCTATGCCCTATGCCCTAAGCCCAAAAACCTAAACCGCCTGAACCGGTTTAGGAGTTTAGGGAAGAAGCCTCAGCGCTTTGTCACAGGGGGTGCCCGCTCTTGCTCATGCACCTGCAGTTTGAATGCCACATGGATATGGTGTAGCATGGCTCAGGGCCATTTCGGGTTTAGTGTTTAGGGTTTGGGGTAAACGGCGGCGAGAAGGGGGGTGCTAGTAATAGAGAGGGGGGAGGGGCGCAAGCCCGCGTCCTCAACGCAGAGTACAGGCGATTTTGGGGGCTAGCACCGGTTGCTCGCTGTCGGTGTGGTGTCCGTGCCCGTGCCCGTGTGCGTGTCTGTGTCTCTGCGTGCTTACATATTCATGCGCCCACACTTCCCTACACTCTCAACCGACGAGCCTTTGAGAGTCCTAAATCTGATCTCGATAGTTTAGACCCTGTCACTCTGGACCTGACCGGACACACCCGACCCACCCTGGACCGCGCAAAAGCTCAGCCTCTAAGCCTCTAACCCGATACACCCTAACACCCTGAACCAAATCTCTAAACCCTAAACCCTCTAAAGCCCTAAACCCCCTAAACCCCCTGAACACCCCCCCGAAAACCCCCCTAAAAGCCCCCTAAACCCTACGCCCCTGAGCCCACCCCACGCCCACACTGCGGAAGGCCTCTGTGGAGCTTTGGTTCAGGTTCGATGCCTCAGCTCAGGAGCTCTTTCCCAGGCCGGGCTGGGGTTTAGGGTTTAGGGTTTAGGGTTTGGGGTTTAGGGTTTAGGGTTTAGGGTTTAGGGTCTAGGGTCTAGGGTCTAGGGTCTAGGGTTTAGGGTTTAGGGTTTAGGGTTTAGGTTTTAGTTTTTAGGGTTTAGCCGCAAACGCACCGCCCCCAGAACCCTCAAGCCCGACGCCCTGGCCCAATATTCCTCCCTGACGCCCTTCTGGAGGCTTCTTCGCCTGGCCACAGCGCGCTGAGCCTCCCCTGCGGCTTTCGCTTGACACGAATGTACCTACTACTAGTTGCTTAAGAACCCCCCCCCCCCAAATACAAAATGTTAAAATATTAGTTCCTGTAATTATTGCCCTTACAAGGAAGAATAATGACTTTTTGGGGTTCTTAAACAGTTAGTAGTCTCGGCCAAGGCAGACAAGGACCTTCGGCGTGGTACAGAGCTTGGGATACCCCCTTGCGTGCCGCTGCATCGTATGTGCACGGTGTACAGCCTGTGCGCAGCTGCGAAGCAAAGAGCGATACCTTCATGGTCTCTCTCTCTCTCCACCTCTCTCTCTCTCTCTCTCTCTCTCTCCGTCTGTTCGTTCGTAACTAGCTGCCCGTGCCCTCCAACGTGCTGACTAGCCATTCACGAGAGGTTTAGGGTTTAGGGTTTAGGGTTTAGGGTTTAGGGTTTAGGGTTTAGGGTTTAGGGTTTGGGGGTGGAAGGGTTGTTGCGGGTGGAAAAGGGGTGTCACGAGGTTTGGTCCGGGCAAGGTGGCCCTCAACCCTGGCTGCAGCAAAGAACGGTTCGCCGACCCCAACTCTCTAACACCCCTTTAGCCCGAAC